GTTGAAAAATTTTAAAATTTTAAAATTTTACGTTTTATTCTAAAAAATTCAAATCAAAAACTGATGCAAAGAAAATGTTAAAAACTAAAAATTGAATATTCAGAAACAAAATATCACAAGACTGAAAAAAACAGAAAAATGAAAAATTAAAACATCCAAAAACCGAAAAAGTCGAAAATTGCAAAAACTGTAAAATTAAAAAATTGAGAAATTACAAATCTAAAATTTAAAGAAACGAAAAAACGACAAACTATAGGTAATACTGAAAAGAGAAAATTTTTAAAAATTAAGGAAAAATCTACAGATGTTGAAAAACAAAAAGTCAAATATTTCAGCAATTCAGGAAGTGAAAATAATTGAAAAATAAAAAATTGACAAATTGTAAAATTGAAAATTCAAGAAAAACGAAAATTCCAAAATGGAAAAATTGAAAACTTGAAGTATCGATAAATTGAAAAAAAAATTTATTAAGTTTAACAACGAAAAAATGAACAATTAAAAAAAAGAAATTCGGGAGACCTAATTGAAAAATTGAACAATATCTAATTGAAAGAAGGAAAAATAGAAAATTCGAATGTTGAAAAATATAGAAATTGAGAAATTTTACGTCAAAATCTAAAAAATTGCACAAATCGAAAAATAAACAAATTGGATATCAAAAAAAAACAAATTGGAAAATTGAAAATTTGAAATATCGAGAAATTGACAAATTAAAAGCTGAAAAATTTAAAGAACGAACCATCTCAATAGAAAAATCGAAATATTGAATTAACTAAAAAAACAAAGAATTCAGAAATTAAAAAATTGGATTTTAAAGTCAAATTAAACCCAATTGAAAAATCGGACAAATGTTAAAACGTAAAATTAAAGAAACGTAAAACCAAAAAATAAAAAAGCGAGTAACTAAAAAATAAATAATGAACCGGAAAAATCGAAAAATGCAAAGGTTGAAAAATTGAAAAATATCAAAATTTTAAAATAGAGACTAGAAAAAGCACAAGACAAAAAATTTAAGAAACGCAAAAGTAATAAAGCAAAAATAAAAAATCGACAAACGAAATCTCGCTAAATTGAAAAACTGAAAAATTGTAAGATTGAAAAAAATGGAAATTGGTATCTATGTATAAATTAAAAAATCTAAAAACTACAAGTAAAAAAATTCAAGAAACGAAAAATCGATAACGTTAAAAACCAAAATTAGAAAAAAAAACTATCGATTTATTAAAAAAAAACGAAAACTAAAAACTCAAAAATACAACAATTTAAAAAAGACAACACATCAAAAATTAAAAAATTCGATTGCCAAAAAAGAAATATCGGAAAATGCAAAAATGCAAAATCGAATAACTGATAAGTTGAAAAATGGAGAAATTTCAAAATCAGAAATCGAAAAATGAAACAGCGTAAAATGAACATTTGCAAAATCAAAGAATTTTAAAAGATTTTAAAAAATTCGGAAATTGTAAAAATTGTGGATAAATTAAAAATTCGAAAATTACAAAAATGGAAACATTCAAGAAACGAAAAATTGATAAAGTTAAAAACCGAAATTAGAAAAAATAAATATCGAAATCTAAAAAGAGTAAAAAAAAATGCAAAATTAAAATCTAAAAACTAAAAAAGCAAAAGTGCAATAATTGAAAGATTGAAGCAAAATTAAAAATTGTGAGATTGTTAAAAGGAAAATATAGAATTTATCAACTGGAAGGAAATATTAAAAAAATGGAAAATCTGTAAGGTGAAAAATTGAGAAATTGAAAAATCAAAAGTTGTAAAATTGAAACTTTGAAACCTATCAGCTGTCGAATTGAAAAATTTTAAAAAGCAGAAGATTTCTAAAACAAAAAATTGTAAAATTGAAAGTTTGTTAAAACAAAAAATTGTAAAATTGAAAAATCGAAAAACTCAAGAAATAGAAAACGAATACCTAAACGTTACAAATTGAGCAACAAAAAATCTAAGAACGACCAAAAAAATTGAAAAATTAAAATTTTAAGTAGTTTTGTAAACAAAAAATCAAAGAACTAAGACTCGAAAATTTCAGAAATCGGAAAAAAAATTACAGAATACTTGAACAATGGAAAAATTAAAAAAAGGAGAAATTGAAAAATCGATAAAGAAATTTTTAAAAATTGAAAAGTGAAAAAATCTAATTGAAAAACGGAACAAACGAACAATAAAAAATTCAGATATTGAAAAACTTAGAAATTTAAATTTTTTACGTTTAAACCTAAAAAATATTGCACATCAAAAACTGAGGAAACGAGAAAATTAAAAACTAAAAATTGAAAATCCAGAAACGAAATATAGCAAAATTGAAAAATTCAGAAAAAGAAAAATTCGGAAAAATCAAAATATCCAAAAACTGAAAAAGTCGAAAATTGCAACACTGTAAAATTAAAAAATTTAGAAATTACAAATCGAAAATTTAATGGAAATGGAAAATTTTTAAAAATAAAAAAAAATGCAAAATATTGAAAAACGAAAGGCAAAAATTTCAACAATTCAAAAAGCGGAAAATCCCAAAACCGAGAAATTGAAAACTAAATATTGAGAAATTGAAAAATTAAAAGTTGATAAAGTTTAACAACGAAAAATCTCAATAGAAAAATAGAAAAATTTAAAAACTAAAAAATTGAAAAATTCGGAAATAGGGAAATTGGATTTTAAAATTAAAAATTTAACACTGAAAAAATGAACACTTAAAAATTGAAAAATGAAAAATCTAAATGAAAAAGTGAACAATAATAATTGAAAGAACGAAAAATCAAAAATTCGAATACTGAAAAAAACAAAAATTGAAAAATTCTACGTCAAAATCTAAAAATTGCAAATCAAAAACTGTAAAATCCAAAAAACAAAAAGTCAAAAAATTTAACAATTTACAGATCGGAAAAATCGAAGAATGAAAAATTGACAAATTGTAAAATTGAAAATCCAAAAAAAAAACAATATTCCAAAATCTAAAAATTGAAAACTTCAAATATCGAGAAATTGAAAAATCAAAAACTAAAAAGTTGAAACTTCTGAAACTTCGATTTGCAATTTTTCAATTCTTCAATTTTCCAGGGTTAAATTATTCGCCTTTAAAATCCAATTTCTTGATTGTTTGTTTCTTTAGTTTTTCAATTTTTCGATTTTTCTATTGAAATTTTTCGTTCTTTAACTTTTTCAGTTTTTGATTTTTCAATTTCTCGATATTTAGTGAACGTTCTAGAAACTGAAAACTAAAAACATCGAAATGAAAATTTGAACAGAAAAAACGAAAAATAAACCAAAAAAATTCCAAAAAACGAATAATAAAAATCGGAAAATGCAGCAAATCAAAACTACAAAAAAAATCGAAAAATTAAAAACTGAGAAACTGTGAAGTGAAAAGTGCAATAATTAGGTACCAAAATATAAAATAGAAAAATTGAAAAGTTTAAAAATCGAGAAACTGAAAAATCAAAAATTGAAAAACTGAATAAGCGAAAACTGAAACACAGCATTGAAAAATCGGTTGTAAAATCGCTAAACTAAAGAAACGCAAAAATTCAAAAAATGAAAAGTGGAGAAACAAAATAAATAAAGTGGAAAAATCGAAAAATTCAATAGTTAAAAAATCAAAAAGTAGAAAAATTGTAAAACAGGGACTAGAAACACCTCAAACCAAAAAATTTAAGAAAAGAACAAACATTAAAAAACGAGAAACGAAATCTGGCAAACTTATAAAACTGAAAAACCGAAAAACTAAAACATTTAAAAATTAAAAAACTGAAAAATTATAATTTCAAAAAATTGTAAGATTGAAAAATTTTTAAATAAAAAAATAATTATCGATTTATTAAAAAAAACAACATCCAAAATTAAGGTAGTAAAACTAAAAAGTCAAAAAGGCAACAATTTAAACAAAAAACAACGAAACAAAAATTAAAAAATCCAATTGCCAAAATGCAAAATCGAATAACTGATAAGTTGAAAAATGGAGAAATTGAATATACGAAAACTGAAACACTGAAAAATTGAAAAATTGAAGGATTCTAATGTTGAAAAATCGAAAAACAGAAAAAATTTAAGTTGGAAAATAGAAAAACCACAAATGAAAAAATTAAAGAAGTTAAAAATATAAAAATCACAAATCTAAATATGAAATACCCTAAAGTTGAAAAATTGCAAAATAAAAGAACTGAAAAAGTAAAAAATTCAGAAATTGCAAAAATTGTAGATAAACTAAAAAATCGAAAAATTATAAAAAAATGGAAAAATTAATTATAATAAAGTCAAAAACCGAAATTAAACAAAAAAGACAACCGAAATTAGAAAAACTAAATATCGAAATCTAAAGAAAAAAAAATTGCGAAATTAAAATGAAAAAAATAAAAAGATTAAAATGCATTATTGAAGATCGAAACAGTTCAAAAAATTGGAGAATCTAAAAAGTGAAGAATTTTAAAATTAAAAATCGATAAACTAAAAAATCAAAAGGTAAAAAGTCGAAAATTTGTAATAAGTAGGTATATAAAATAAAACTTGCAATAAATATAGGGCAGCAAAAGCAAAAACTCGTTGAAGGTGAGCCATCACAAAAAATAATAGTCACTGCAGAGGCCATGAAAAACAAGAATATGTGTCAACCTGAACGATAAATCACGACAACAATAATGTCGCATAATTAACCTCGTATAACATCAACATCAGTTCAAACACATAATTGTTTAAAAAAAACACTCGTCATTATTTTTAATGAGTCCCAGTACCAGTCCTTTTTCCGATTGATTCATCTTTTAATTAGCAAAAAAACGGTAAATTGCGAAGAACAAGCACCCAAAGATCTTGATCAATTTATTAACTTTATTTTTAAATCAAAGGGAAAATAAATCTCATTTAAGTAAAATAAAAAACCCCGACCCATCGCGTCGGAATGCAAATGTGTTCGTCCAGTATTCTTTACCCCAACCTTGCAGCAAACAAGTTTACGATGTCACTTTTTTTTACAAAAAATTGTAAATAAAAGGAACTCCCATTATCGACAAAGCTCCACTTGTTAAGCTCATCCCGAACACGATGTTAAAATTTGTGTGCGTTTTAGTGGCACTGGTGACATTCTGTGCTACTTTAAACCTGCGTAAGTTTTTAATTTTTTTGATTTTTGATTAAATTTTGAAATTGAGAAATCGTAGCCCCCTCATTCAAAAAATGCAAGCTACGAAGTGGCGCCTTCGACCAGTGTTTGTCTACAGCTATTCAGGACGCAATTCAGCAGCTGAAAAAACCGCTTCCTGACTATGGTTTACCCAGTATAGAACCATTTGAAGCACCAAAGGAGGTTTTTCTTGAATACGGAAACGAAACGACTGGTATTCGTCAAAAATACTTCAACATAAAAATCGGCGGTTTCACAAAAATTGAAAAAACCAGTGCAAGGTAATTTTTTTCCCACTATATCCAAGAGTGTAAAGTTTTTTTCAGATTTAATCTCGAACGTAAAATTTTATTTCTAAACATTACTTTCTCGGAGCTTCTATTCTCGTCCGGCTACGAAGCTCGTGGAAGATTTATTTTATACCCAATTGATGTATCAACGACAGTTGCGATGAAAATTAGTAGATATTTTTTTATTTTTGTAACAGATTTATTGATAATAATGACATAATTTTCAGTTAAACCAACGTTCAAAGTTGTCTTCAATTTGGAAAAATATGAAAAAGAAAACACGAAATATTTTAGGGCCCTTGATAGTTTCCTCGACATAGTTTTGGACGGAATGACGTACGATTTTAAAAATATTTTTCAAGAGGAAGTTCTAAATAAGGAATTTAATCGTGGAATGAATGGAAAGTGGCAAAACATTGTAGGTTTCCTCCAAGCGACCTTCCCAAAATTCTGGATCACTTTGTTCGAACAAACGTTTAATAATTTGTTGGAAAGAGTCCCCGCTTCTGATTTATTCGTCGGACTGTAATAGTAATAATAATAATAATTGTGAACAAGTGATTATGGTTTAATAAAAGATTTCCCTTTATGAGGCACCGAAAAAATACTTCATTTTAAAAGTTAACGACTACGCAAAAATCGAAAAAACGAAAATCTATAAATCAGAAAATTGAAAAATACAAATTAAAAATTTGAAAAAACAACTAAAATTTAAAAACCGAGAGACGAAATTGAAAAATTTAAAAAAATAAAAATTACGAAACAAAAAATAAAAAAAGTTAAAAATGAAAATTGAATATTTCAAAACAAAAAAAAAATGCAAAAAAAAGTCGAAAAACAGTCGAAAAATGTAGATAATAATTCACAAATCGGAAAAATCGAAGAATTAAAAACTCACAAATTGTAAAATCTAAACAACGAACAATTAAAAAAATCCGAAAATTGAATTTTAAATTCGAAAAATTTAACACCGAAAAAATGAAGAATTGAAAAATTAAAAATTGAAAAATTAAAAAATCCAATTGAAAAATTAAAAAATCCAATTGAAAATTAATTAATAATAATTGTAAAAACGAATAATCAAAAAATTTAGTAATGTTGAAAAAGATAAAAACTGAAAAATTTTCTTTAACACCTAAAAAATTGCAAAACAAAAACTGATGAAACGAAAATGTTAAAAACGAAATATCGCAAAATAAAAAAATTCAAAAAAACAAAAAAATTAATATCCAAAAACTGAAAAAGTCGAAAATTGGAAAACTACAAATAAAAAAACGTGAAGAAATTACAAATCTATTACTCAAAGAAACAAAAAACTGAAAAAGTCAAACACTAAAAATAGAAAGTTTTTAAAAATTAAAAAAAACGCAAAATAGTTGAAACACAAAAGGTAAAAATCTGAAAAATTAAAACAATACAAAAAAACGAAAATTCCAAAATCGCAAAAATTGAAAACTTGAAATATGTAGAAACTGAAAAATCTCAGAAGAAAAATTAAAAAATTTAAAAATTAAAAATTCGAACAATTCAGAAATCAAAAAACTGGATTTTAAAGTCGAATAATTTGACACTGAAAAATTGAGGAATGAAATAAAAAAAATCGAGAAATCAAAAAATGCAAATGCTGAAAAATCAAATAATTTAAAAATTTTACGTTTAAACCTAAAAAATTCAAATCAAAAACTCATGAAACGAAAAAGTTAAAAACTAAAAATTGAAAACGCAAGATTCAAAAAACGGAAAAACGAAAAATTAAAACATCCAAAAACTGAAAAAGTCGAAAATTGAAAAACTGTAAAATTAAAAAATTGTGAAATTATAAATCTAAAATTTGAAGAAACGAAAAATCGACAAAGTATGATACTAAAAATAGAATTTTTTTAAAAATCAAAGAAAAATGTACAAATGTTGAAAAACAGTAGGTAAGTCAAAAATTTCAGCAATTCAAGAAGCGACAATAATTGAAAAATAACAATGTGACAAATTGTAAAATTAAAAATTCAAGAAAAACGAAAATTTCTAAATTATAAAATTGAAAGCTTGAAGTACCTACCTATCGAAAAATTGAAAAATTAAAATTGATAAAGTTTCGCAACGAAAAACGTCAACCGAAAGATCGAAAAATTTAGAAATCGGAAAAGTGAAAATTCTAAATATTACGAAACTGAAAAATCCAAAAAACCGAAAAATTAACATATCCAAAAACTGAAAAAATCGAAAACTGCAAAACTGTAAGTAGGTAATATTAAAGAATCGAGAAATTATAAACCTAAAATTGAAGAAACGAAACGACAAATACTTAAAATATAAAACTCTTTAAAATAAAAAAAGCAAAAAAATTGAAAAACAAAAAGTCAAAAAATTCAACAATTTACAAATCTGAAAAATCGAAAAATGAAAAATTGACAAATTGTAAAATTGGGAATTCAAAAAAAAAGTGAATTCCAAAACCGAAAAATCAAAAACTGAAAAAGCCAAAGAACGAAAACTCTCAATTGAAAAATCGAAAAACTGAAAAACTAAAAAACAAACAATTCAGAAGATAAAAAATAGGATTTTAATGTCGAATATTTAAACACCAAAAAATAGAAAACTCTGAAAAGTGAGAATTGTAAAAAATGAAAAATTAAAAAATCCAATTAAAAATCGAAGAGTTGTAAAACGTAAAATTAAAGAAACGAAAAATCAAAGAATGAAAAGTCCAGTAACTAAAAAATAAAAAATCTGGAAAACTTGAAAAATGCAAAGGTTGAAAAGTTGAAAAATAGGAAAATAGAAACTACAAAAAACGCAAACCTAAAAATTTTAGAAACGACAAAGTAATAACAACCAAAAATTAAAAATCGAGAAACGAGATCTCGCTAAATTTAAGAACTGAGAAATCGTAAAACCAAAAAATTATAAGATTAAAAAATTTTGAAATTGGTAAATTATAAATTTAAAAATCAAGAAACCACAAGTAAAAAATTCAAAAAACGAAAAACTGATAACGTTAAAAACCAAAATTAGAAACAATAATTATCGATAAAAAAAAACAAATTGCAACAACAAATCAAAATTAAAAAATTCAAATGCAAAAAAAGAAATATCGATAAATACAAAATCGAATAACTGATAAGTTGAAAAATGGAGAAATGAAAAATCAAAAATCGAAAAATGAAACACCGTAAAATTGAAATATTTGCATTTGCAAAATCAAAGAATTTTAAAAGTAAAAAATTCAGAAATTGCAAAAATTGTGGATAAACTAAAAAATCGAAAAGTTATAAAAAATAGAAAAATTCTCTTAAGAAATGAAAAATTGATAAAATTAAAAACCGAAATTAGAAAAACTAAATATCGAAATCTAAAAAGAACAAATAAAAGCAAAATTAAAATTTAAAGACTAAAAAAACAAAAATGCATTAATTGAAAGATCGAAACAGGATAAAAATTAAAAATTGTGAAATTGTTAAATGGAAAATATAGAATGTATCAACTGGAAGGAAATATTAAAAAATTGTAAAATCTGAAAGGTGAAAAGTGGAGAAATTGAAAAATTTTAAAATTAAAAAATCAGAAAATTGCTAAATCTAAAATTTGAAAAAACAAAAACAACGAAAATTTGAAAAATTAAAAATTGGGAAATAATAAATTAACTTTTATTGTAAATTTGCAAGAACCGAAAAATTAATAAACTGAAAAATTGTAAAAACAAAAAATTTTAAAATTTAAAAATAGAAAAACTGAAGAAGTAGTAACCCACAATCTATAAAAACCACCAAAAAAATTTAAACTCGAAATATTAGTTTATAAACCAAAAAAATCGAAGGACCAAAAATCGAAAATTTTAGAAATCGGAAAACTGGATTTTAAAATTAAAAAATTTAACTAAAAACTTGAAGAATTGAACAATTAAAAATCGAGAAAATGAAAAATCGAAAAGGAAATTTCCTAAACTTGAAAAATAAAAAATGGAACGAATGAACAATAAAAAAATTCAAATGTTGAAAAACCTAAAAATTTAAATTTTTCACGTTAAAACCTTAGAACTTACAAATCGAAAATTTGAAGAAACGAAAAGTTGAGAAGGTATAATACTGAAAATGGAAAATTTTTAAAAATAAAAAAAAATGCAAAATGTTGAAAAACAAAAGTCAAAAATTTCAACCATTCACATAGCGAAAAATTCCAAAACCGAAAAATTGAAAACTTTAAATATCGAGAAAATGAAAAATTAAACGTTGCCAACGAAAAATCTCAATACAAGATCGAAAAAATTTAAAAACTAAAAAATTGAAAAATTCAGAAATAGGGAAATTGGATTTTAAAATAAAACATTGAACACTGAAAAAATGAACAATTAAAAAAAATAAAAATCGGGAAATTGAAAATTCAAAAAAGTGAAAAACGAAAAATCTAAAGTTCGAATACCTAGGTACTGAAAAATATAAAAATTGAAAAATTTTACGTTAAAATTTAAAAATTGCAAATCAAAAACTAAAAAATCCGAAAAGCAAAAAGTAAAAAATTCAACGATTATTATTTACAAATCGAAAAATTGAAAAATTTGAGAAGTGAGAATTGTGAAAATGAAAAATTAAAACATCCAATTGAAAAGTCGAACAGTTGTAGAACCGTAAAATTAAAGAAACGAAAAATTAAAAAATGAAAAGTGGACAAACTAAAAAAATTTAAAAATGCAAATCTTGAAAAATCGAAAAATAGAATAATTTTAAAATAGGAAAACCCCAAATGAAAAAATTTAAGAAAAAAACAAAAATTAAAAACCGAGAAACGAAATTCCGCAAAATTGAAAAACTCAAAAACCGAAAAACTAATCTAAAAATTGAAATGCTGAAAACTTGTAAAATCAAAAATTGTAAAAATTGATAACGTTAAAAATCAAAATTAGAAAAAATAATTACCTATCGATTTATTAAAAAAAAAAAACAAATTGCAAAATTAAAGCCGATAAAATAAAAAATCAAAAAGGCAATAATTAAAAAAAAAACAACAAATCGAAAATTAAAAAATTTAATTGCCAAAAAAGAAATATCGAAAATTGCAAAACTGAAAAATTATAATATTGAGAAATTACAAATCTAAAATTTGAATAAACGAAAAATTGAAAAAGTAACACTTAAAACAGGAAATTTTTAAAATTAAAAAAAAATGCAAAAAAGTTGATAAACAAAAAAAAGCAAAAAGTCAAAATTTCAACAATTCATAAATTGTCGGAAAAACCGAAAAATTAAAAAGTGACAAATTGTAAAATTAAAAAATTTGAAAAAAAACGAACATTCCAAAATCGAAGAAATGAGAACTTGAAATTATGAGAAATTGAGAAAAATCTTAATAGAAAAATCGAAAAATTTTAAAATTAAAAAATCGAACTGTTTAGAAATCGAAAAATTGGGTTTTACACTGAAAAATTGAAAAATTAAAAATCGTGAAAAAAGGAATTTCTAAAAATTGAAAAATGAAAAACTAACTGAAAAATTAAACAAACGAACAATAAAAAAATTTAAATGTCGAAAAACCTAGACCAAAACTGAGGAAACGACAGAGTTAAAAGCTAATCCAGAAACGAAATACTGGAAAATTTAAAAATTCAGAGAACGGAAAATCTAAATATCCAAAAAGTGAAAAAGTCGAAAATTGCAACACTTTAAAATTAAAAAAATGGAAATTAGAAATCGAATTTGAAAAAACGAAGTATTGAAAATATAAAATGTTTTAAAATAAAAAAAAAAATCACAAAATGTTGAAAAACACAAAGTCAAAAATTTCAGCAATTCAGAAGGCGGAAAAATCGATAAATTAAAAATTGACAAATTGTAAAATTGAAAATACAAGAAAAACGAAAATTCCAAAACCGCAAAATTTAAAGCTTTAAGAATCGAAAAATTGAAAAATCAGAAGTTGATAAGAGTTTAACAACGAAAAATCTCAATAGAAAGATAAAAAATTTAAAAACTAATAACTACAACATTTCAGAAATCCGAAAACTGGACTTGAAAATCGAAAAATTTAACACTCATTAAAAAAAAAAAGAAAATCGGGAAAATAAAAATCAAAAAAGTGAAAATACTACTCCCTAAAAATTAAAAAATTAAAAATCCAAATGAAAAATTGAACAATAATTGAAACAACGAAAAATGAAAAATGCGAATGGTGAAAAATATAAAAATTGAAAAATTTCGCGTCAAAATCTAAAAAATTGCAAATCAAAAACTAATGACACAAAATCGTTAAAAAATCCAAAAACTGAAAAAATCGAAATCTGCAAAACTGTAAAATTAAAAAATTGGAACGTTATAAATCTAAAATTGCAAAAACGGTAAATTCAAAAGTAGAACACAAAAAATAGAAAAGTTGTAAAAATAAAATATATGCAGAAAACTGACAAATTGGAAATCCAAAAAAAATGAAAATTCCAAAGTTGAAAACTTGAAATATCGAGAAATTGAAAAATAAAAAACTGAAAAAGCCAAAGAACGAAAAATCTCAATAAAAAAAAAATTAAAAAAGGAAAAGTAGAGTAGGTAACTAAAAAATAGTAAATAAACTGGAAAAATCGAAAAATGCAAATGTTGAAAAACATAAAAAACTAAAAAATTTTAAAATAGGGACTAGAAAACCCCAAACCAAAAAATTTAAGAAACGAAAAATTAAAAAACCAAAAATTTAAAATCGAGAAACGAAAATACGCAAAATTGAAAAACTAAAAACCGAAAAACTAAAATATCTAAAAATTGAAAATGTGAAAAAATCTCAACATGAAAAACTGAAAAATTTTAAATTGGAAGTTAGAAAAACTACAAATCAAAAATTTAGCAAGTTAAAAGTAAAAAATCAAAAATCGAAAGATGAAATATGTATCTACCGTAAAATTGAAAAATTTCAAAATGAAAGAATAATTGTAAAAAAGTAAAAAATTCAGAAATTGCAAAAATTGTAGATAAACTAAAACATCGAAAGATCACAAAAACGGAAAAATTCAAGACACGAAAAACTGATCAACTTAGAAACCGAAATTAGAAAAACTAAAAATCGAAATCTAAAAAGAACAAAAAAATCGCAAAATTAAAATCTCAAAACTAAAATGACAAAAACGCATTAATTAAAATATCGAAACAGTTCAAAAAATTGGAAAATCTGAAAGGTAAAAAGTTGAGAAATTAAATAATGAAAATTTGTAAAATTGAAGAACTAAAAATCGACAAACGAATTGAACTATAAAACATTTTAAAAACGAAAAATTGTAAAATCGTCACACTGAAAAACTTGATAACGTAAAAATGAAATTCAAAAACTGAAAAATCTAAAAAGTGAAGAATTTTAAAATTAAAAATCGATAAATTAAAAATTTGTAAAATGTAAAATAAAATTTGCAATAAATGTAGGGCGGCAAAAGCAAAACTCGTTGAAGGTGAGCCATCGCAAGAAATAATAGTCACTGCAGAGGCCATGAAAAACAAGACTATGTGTCAACCTGAACGATAAATCACGACAACCTCAAACATTCATCAGTATACTTATTATTAATAATGTCGCATAATTAACCTCATATAAGATCGACTTCAGTTCAAACACATAATTGTTGAAAAAAAAAACATGTAAATTATGAAGAACAAGTCCCCAACGATGTTGATCAATTTATTAACTTTATTTTTAAATCAAAGGGAAAAATAAATCTCATTTAAATAAAATAAAAGAAAAACGATCCATTCCGTCAGAATGCAAATATGTTCCTCCAACCTTGAAGCAAACAAGTTTACAATGCCACTTTTTTTGCAAAAGATCATAAACAAAAGCAACTTCCATTATCGACAAACATCCATTTGTAAAGCACATCCCGAACTCGAACACCATGTTAAGATTTATCTGTATTTTCCTAGCATTGGTGACATTCTGTGCCACTTTAAACCTGCGTAAGTTTTTAACTCTTTTGATTTTTAAATTTAAATTTTGAAATTCAAAAATCGTAGCCCCCTCATTCAAAAAATGCAACCTACGAAGTGGCGACTTAGACCAGTGTTTGTCTACGGCTATTCAGGAAGCAATTCAGCAGCTGAAAAAACCGCTTCCTGACTATGGTTTACCCAACTTAGAACCATTTGAACCACCCAAAGAGGCTTTTCTTGAATACGGAAACGAAACGACTGGTATTCGCCAAAAATATTTCAATATAAAAATGAACGGTTTTACAAAAATTGAAAAAACGAGTGCAAGGTATTTTTTTTTCCTGTAGGTATCTCAGTGTGTAAAGTTCTTTTCAGATTTAATCTCAAACGTAAAATTTTATTTGTAAACATCACTTTCTCGGAGCTTCTATTCTCTTCCGACTATGAAGCTCGTGGAAAATTTATTCTTTACCCAGTTGATGTATCAACGACAGCTGCTCTAAAATTGAGTACCCACTTTTTTATTTTTGTGATATATTTATTTGTAATAATGAGATAATTTTCAGTTAAACCAACGTTCAAAGTCGTCTTCAAATTGGAAGAATATCAAAAGGAAAACGCGAAATATTTTAGGGCCCTTGGTGGTTCTGTGTACATATTCTTGGACAAAATGACGTACGATTTTAAAAATATATTTCAAGAGGAACTTCTAAATAAGGAACTTAATCGTGGAATGAACGATAACTGGAAAAATATTGCACGTTTCCTCCAAGCGACCTTCCCAACATTCTGGATCACTTTGTTCCAACAAATGTTTAATAATGTGTTGGAAAAAGTCCCTGCTTCTGATTTATTCGACGGACTGTAATAGTAATAATAATAATAATAATTGTGAACAAGTGACTATGGTTTAATAAAAGATTTCCTTCCATTTATTTATGTATTTATTTTTCATCACATATATTATAATAACTTATTGTAATGGACATTATTAGACACTACATTTTCCATTTTCTTTTCAGCCTCCAACTCCATCCCCTCCCTCCTCTGCGACTTTGAGCAAGCCGATCTCTGTGGCTGGAACCACGACCTCAACCACGATTTTGATTGGAAGCGCCTAAATTACGCCACGCCCAGCGGTGCCATTGGCACTGGTCCCAGCTACGATCACACCAAAGGACCCGGACAAGATGGCTACTACATGTACATCGAATCCTCGGCCAGAAACATCAACGACACTGCTCGGCTCATTTCGCCCGTCTTCGACAAAAGCAACGAAACGGTGTGCTTCGACTTCTACTACCATATGTACGGGTCCAGCACCGGAACCCTGAGGGTGTACATGAAGAAGGTGAACGAAACGTGGAAGCTGAATCCCCAAGATGCGCTCTTTTCGAAAAGTGGAAACCAGGGGAATCGGTGGTTGAGAGGAGTCGTTGTGCTGGGGGCGGTGAATAACGAGTTTCAGGTAATGGGGGGTGTGTAAGGGTGGTGGAGATTTTGTTTGGGGGTGTGTTTTCTGAGATAAGTTGGGGATTGGTGGAGTTTAAAAGAGTTGTTCTGGGTGGTGTCCAATCAAGTTTTTGCTGTTATCTGGAAAAGAACAAAGGATATTAGTCAGAAAATAAGTATTTTTTTTAAAATAGCTATTTTTTACATTTTTTACGTATTAATTATTATTAATAATTATTAATTATTAGTATATTTATGGAGGTTTTGGTTCACTTGAGGACATCCAGGCTTGTCAGACATGGGGCGTCTTTTCAGGGGGAGCGTAGGTAGAAGGGCTATGGTGGGACTGTGATGGTGGCTGCCATGGGCGTGTTTACCGAATTTGGAGGGGTGTGTCAAGTGTTCTCATTGGTCACCTCTTTTGTTGTCCCCTTATTTCTTAATTTAGGCATGCACTGTGTTCAAAATTGAAAAGAAAATAAAAAAGATAGAAAAAATACAAAGAAAGACAGAGGGGGGAAAATAGAGAAGAAAAAAACTGAAAAATTCAAAAACCGAAAAATCGGACAACAAAAATTTAAAATTAAAAACCAATTCTTCAATTTGCAAATTGAAGAACTGAAAACACGAAAAAAGTAAGAAATTGAAAAAAGAAAAGATTAAAGTAGGTACATTTTTATAATTGAAAAAATGAAAATCGAAATATGTACCTACTTAAAAAAAGGAAAAACGAGAAACTGAAAAGACGAAAAATAGTAAAATCGTCACATTGTAAAATCGATCATAGAATCGTGGATAAAATAAAAAAAATAAAATCGGAAAATATACAAAATTATTATTGAAAACTAGAAAAAAGGAAGACATAAAAGAAGCATAAAAGAACATATATAAGCAGAAGGGCAAACAGAAAGCAAGAAGACAAAAAGGAAGCAAAAGAGAAAATGGAAGACATAGAACAAGATATAAAAGAACACAGAAAAAAAGGCAGAAAAGACGATACAAAGGACTGAATGAGGAAAGAACGGAAGATAGAAAGAAAGACAGAAGGAAAAGCATAGAAAAAGGTAGAATGGTAGTCGAAAAAGGAAGATAAAGTGGGACGTAGAAAGAGGAACACAAAGGTAGGCAAAGAAAAAGGCAAACATGACGACAGAGTAGATGACAGAGGAAGAGACGAAAAAGTAGACAAAAAGATATAAATGAAGACAGAAAGAAAAACAAGAAATAAGACAGAAACGCAAAAAGAAAGATACAAAGGCAGAGAAGCAGAAAAAGAGAAGAAAGACAGGGAGGAAGACAAAGAAAACGACGGAGATAAATACGGGGAGGAAGACAGAAAAGACGACAGAATCAGAAGACAAAAAGGAAGGTAGATAAACACAGAAGGGGATAAAGAGAAAAACAGGGAAGACGACAGAGAAAAATACTGAAAAAAGCAAAACGGAGGCAGAAAGCAATATAGAAAGGCAGAAAAGACGACAGAAAAACAGAAAGGCAGATAGAGAAAAAGACAGAGCGGGAGATAACAACCAAGAAGACAGAAAACAGGGCAGAAAAGAAAATAGGAATGAAGAAAGACTGAAGCGAGAAAGGAACACAAAAAGGAATGCAGAGAGATAGCTAGAAAAAAGGGCAGAGTGGTGGCCGGAAAGGAAGGTAGAAGAGAACATGAAGGAAAAACACTGAGTGAGACAAAGAAAAAGATAGAGAAGATAACCGAGAAGGAAACGGAAAAGAAGGCAGAAAGAATGACAGAAAGGCAGAAGGGCAAATCGGGAGACAGCAAGCAAGTAGAGAGAAAAGAAGGAAGAGAGAAAACAGAAGACAGAAAATAATACACAAAAATACACAGAAACGAACACAGAAAAAAGGGAAGAACGGAAGATAACAAGGAAGACAGAACGGATGGCAGAGAGAGAGAGAGAGAGAGAGAGAGAGAGGTGGAGAGGAACGCAGAATGGTGGCCAAAAAGGTAGGAAAATAGGAAGACAAGCATGACGATAAAGTAGACGTCATAGAAAGAGACGGAGAAAAAAACAAAAGGATATAAATGAAGACAGAAAGAAAGATAAAAAATATAGAAAGATAAAAAAGAAGACTGAAAGACAAAAAAGCAGAAAAAGAGACAGAATAGAAGACATAAAAGAACACAGAGAGAAAGTTAGAAAGGAAAGCAGAATGGTAACGAAAAATGAAGATAAATTGGAAAGGTAGACAAAGAGGAAGACAAAAATGACGACACTGTAGACAACAGCAGAAGAGATAGCAAAGAAGACAAAATATATAGGTAAATGAAGACACAAAGAAAGATAGATCACAAACAACGAGGCAAAAAATGATAGAAAGGCAGAACAGCAGAAAGAGCGGGATACAGCAGACAAGAGGACAAAATGGTAGACAGAAAAGAAAATATAAGAGAACATAGAAAGAAAAATAGAAAAGACTATGTAAAGAGCGACAAGAAAGAGGGAGAACGGAAAATAGAAAGGAAGATACAGAGAAAGGTAGGAAGAAAGGCAAAGTGGGACATTGATACAAGAATGCAAAGTAAGACAAATAGAAAGGCAAAGAAGAAGGAGAGGGAAAAGGAAAGCAGAATTCGAATAAAGACAAGACGGCAGAAAGAAAGATAGAAAGGCATTTCTGACAAAATGATAGACGGGGAGAAAAACAGAGTAGGAGACAATAAGTTAGACAGAGAAAGTAGAAGAGAGAGGAAAGAAAACAGAAAAGAAGACATAGAAGAACATAGAAAGGAAAACAAAGAAGGAGACAGAGAAAAGAGAAAATTGAAAAATTCATAAGCTCAAAAATCGAAAAATAGAAAATTTTAAAATTTTAAAACCAATATTTGTAAAAAGAAAAATTGAAGAAAAGAAAAAATTGCCTTCTTTCTTGATTTAGGTATGCACTGTGTTCATAATTAAACAGAAAATAAAAGACATAAAAAATAGAAAGGAAGACAAAAAGGAAGGGATGGAAAAAGGTAGTAAAAAAGGCAGAATGATAGCCAGAAAGATGGGGGGGGGTTCACATTGACAGAGAAAAACAAAGTGAGACAAAAAAAGAGATGGAAAGAAAACAGAAAGAAAGAGAGAGAGGGAAAGGAAGACAGAAAAGAAACACAGAAAGGAAAATAAAGAAAGAAAAATTGAAAAATTCAAAACCTGAAAAATAAAAAAATAGAAAAATTTAAAATTCAAAACGAAGATTGAAGGAATGAAAAGTTAAAATATGTGATAATTGAAAGAAAGAAAAATTATAAAATTGACAAATCGAGGAATTGAAAAACTGTAAAATTAAAAAATCGATATTTGCAAAAAATAAACCTCGAAATACCTACCTACTTGATGGACAAAAAAAAAACGAAAAACTGAAAGTTGACGAAAAATGAAATAAGTGTAAATCGAACAAACTGCAAAATTGTAGAATTGAAAAAACGAAAACTTGAAAAATAAAGAATTAAGAAAAGATAATTGAAAAATTGAAAAATTTATTCCAGAAACGTATTAAATGGCAAAAATCGGAAAATACAAAATATACAAAATTATTACCTATTGAAAACTAGAAAAATTGCAAACCATCACTGTCAAAAATAAATGCCAAAAGTTTGGTGAAATAACCGGTGATCAAGAAGGTTTCAGATTAGAGTTGGCCATGGAAATATTTGTCATGTCTTTGATTAAACTGTAAAAGTCACGCATAACCGTTCATGTCAATAAAAAAATATTGAAAGACAGAAAAGCAGAAAAAGAGAAGGATAGCCAGGGAGGAAGAAGAGAGAGTCACGCATAACCGTTCATGTCAATAAAAAAATATTGAAAGACAGAAAAGCAGAAAAAGAGAAGGATAGCCAGGGAGGAAGAAGAGGGAGTCACGCATAACCGTTCATGTCAATAAAAAAATATTGAAAGACAGAAAAGCAGAAAAAGAGAAGGATAGCCAGGGAGGAAGAGAGAGAGAGAGAGAGAGAGGGAGACAGCAAGCAAGAAGATAGAAAGTAAGACAGAATAGAAAACATAAAAAAAAAAAACACAGAAAGAAAGTTAGAACGGAAGGCACAGATAAAGTTAGAACAGAAAGCAGAATGGTAGGCAAAAAGAAGATAAAGTGTAACCTAAAAGTAGATAAAGAGGAAGATAAAAATGACGACATTGTAGACCACAGCAGAAGAAATGGAAAAAATGACAAAATATATAAATGAAGAGAGAGAGAAAGACAAAACACGGACAGAAATCAAAGAAAAATATAGGAAGGCAGAACAGCAGAAAGAAAGAAGGTCAGACAAGGAAGACAACAGAATGGGACTGAGCAAACAAGAAGACAGAAAAGAAAACATAGAATAACACAGAAGGAAAAACAGAAATCAAGATATAAAGAGCGGTAGGAAGCAGAGAAAGGTAAAAAAAAGAAAAAGGCAGAGGGGTAGCTAGAAAGAAAGACAAAGTGGGGCATTGATACAGAAAGACAAAGTAACACACAGAGGCGTAGACAAGAAGGAAACGGAAAAGAAGACAAAAAAAATAGAAATAAAGACACGACGGCAGAAAGAAAGATATACAGGCAGAAAAACAAAGTGAAAAGACAGAAAAGAAAACAAAGAAAAATACAGAAAGGAAGACAGAGAGAAGAGAAAAATTGAAAAATACTGAAGGTCAAAAATCGGAAAATAGAAAAATTGAAAATGGAAGAATAAAAAAACATGAAAAAGTAAAAAATTGAAGAAAGGAAACGTTAAAATAAACCTAATAATTGAAAAACTGAAAAATTATAAAATTGGAAAACCCAGAAACTGAAAAATTGCGAAGATCAAAAATTGATATTTGCAAAACGAAAAATTGAAGAAACGAAAAATGGAATACGTAGGTAATAACTCAAAAACGGAAAAATTGGAAAATCGAAAAATCAAGAGAGAAATCAAAATTGAAGAAACGAAAAATTGAGAAAATAACAATCGAAATACTTAATAAACAAAAAAAAAACTAAAAACAAAGTCGAGAAATGAAATAATAATCGAGAAATTGGAAAATCGAAAAACTGCAAAATCCTAGAACTGAAGAAAACAAACCTTGAAAAATCAAAAATTAAGATAATTGAATTGAAAAATTTAAAAATCGAGAAATTGAAATTATAAAAATTTATAATTGAAAAGACGATAAAATAATAAAATCGTCACATTGTAAAATGGAAAACTGAAAAGTCAAAAATTGAAAAATTGCAGAAACGTACAATTAAAAAAATAAAGTATCAAAAATGGGAAAATATACAAAATTATTACCTACTCAACACTAGAAACATTGCAAACCATCATCAAAAAACAGAAGAGCAGACAGAAAGGAAGACATAGCAGGGTAGAAAGGATGACAAAGATGAAGACAGAAACAGTGACGAAGTGGAAGACAAAAAGAAAGACAGAGAGGAAAACTGAAAGGTAGATAGAAAGGTAAAACGGAAACAGGGTCATCAGAAAGAAGACAGAAACAAAGAAAAAATGTTCGATAATATGTAGGAGTAGGTATTTCCTTTGGCATTCGAAAATGCAGGGATCAAAATCTTTAACAAAAATTATACAATATTAAATAGTGTCTTCCACTATCTTACCTTCACATTGTAGGTACTCAAACTCTTCAGTTTCGCCGTCCTCGGTAAGCACAGTTAGGTCCTTTAAATTTCCTCTTCGTCCCCAGAATAACTATTATCTAAATACGTAGGTCATATCAAATTGTAATAAAATGATAATTGTTAATATGTCTAGTAGATTAACAGTGTACGTACTATTTTACTATTAATACAAATTCATTGTAATATTTTTAAAGTGTATTTTGCGTTGTTAGTAATAAATGTAGTAAACATTGTTTAACACGCTTCAGCAGCTAAGATTACTACTGATCCCAGAAAGGAAGCGTTTAATAAATAAAAGCTAGACTTACAATAACTTCAAGTTAACACAAGTTTCCATGTGAAGATTATCTGAAATATTTGCAGACAGGACATATTTTTTAGCGATATATTTTTTTATGGTTAAGTTGTCTAAAAGAAGTTTGTTTTATAGCCGAAAAATATTTTTTGTTATTAAAATTGAATTATGGAATGAGGAGGCGGAGCAGTATAATACCAACAATACTTTTGCGTGTTATAGTAACTTTCGACAATTACTACATAGATCTTTCTTTAGCAAATAATTTATTAGTGAATGTTCTAATAATAAGTATGTTAGAACTACACATACTAAAAAGGGAAAAAAATTAAATACCTACATATTTATTTTTTGCTCAATAAAAACCTAATAATAATAATAATGAATAATATTGGGTCGATCTATGGCACTTTAGTGGCAAACAAAATCTGGCACCACCCAGTAATGATAACATTGAGAAATATCTACATAATGTTATTGTTAAGTCATGTTTGATATTAATAACAACAAATTTTTGTAGATTATAATAGAAGGCGTACGTGGTGAGAGCTACGTCAGCGACATAGCAATCGATGACGTCCGAATTATTAAAGATTGTGTACCAGCCAATGAGCTTGCTGACGGTGAAACAACAACGTAAGTATCTCTGTCGTAAAACACAACACATGAGTTTATATACCTAATAAAATGTAAAAATTAAATGACTAACATTGTAGTTAGTTTGACAATCTCATCTCCTATGAACTATTTTTAGGGAGGAGTACACCTCGGAGACACCAATCAGCGTGGAGTCCTGTGAGCAGCGCTGCAACACAAACGACAACCGCACCTTCGATTGGTTAATAACATGCGACTGCGATGAAGGTTGCTTCGAAAGAAACAGGTGTTGCCCGGACTATTTTGACTTTTGTGTGGCCGAAACGACCTACGAATACGTGGAAACCCCCATGGAAACAACCACAGTTGTGGAAACCTCGCCCACTGTGAAAGCTACCACCATTAAAGTCACAACGACACCAACCACGACGTCTACAACAACGACATTAACCACCGTAACACCAAAAACCACATCTAAGTCACCAATAATAACCACATTCACCACACGACGTTCAACTCCTTCCTCCATCAAAACCACGAAAGTGAAAGCAGCTGACGATGACTACGGTGACGTTCCTGTGTTTACGATAACCACAGAAGCTGAACCTCCTGGAGTTCCGGTGAAAGAAACCGAAATTGTAAACGATTATGAAAACGACAAGATTTTTGATCACCGGAAGAATGATGTGGGGTCGAACATGCACGAAAGCAATACAAAAACCATCGTTTTTGCTGTTGGGGTTGTGTTTGGTGTCTTGTTTGCCTTGGTCGGGATGGCTTTTGTGGCTAGAAGATACCAACTGTGTCAGTGCCACAAAATGAGGTTGAACCAGTCGTCGAACGGTGATAGTCAAAGCGATGTGCGCTTTTTGACTAGCGACGAGGTTTTGGACTTTAGTTTAGCCGGTGACTATGACACTTTGTGAGTTGTGGATATGTGTGTAGATTTATACTTTTTTATTATGTAGGTGTGTAGTTTAATAAATTTCTATTGTGGTTGCATTTCTTTAAATGGACTTGTTTTGAATATTTAACCAAATTTTGCCGGTTCTTCCAAGTAAAATTTTCTACAGTTTTAATTTTATGTAGATTCAAATCTGTTATTGAGGAGTCACCAACCGTATTTAAGAAGAAATAAATTTTACAATAATAATTGATTTAACAATTCGAATAATAAATGGAAGAAAAATGGCAAGATATTGAACGTCTCTGGCAAAGTGAGAGGACGTTCACCAAATTGTAGGGGTAAATGTGAAGATACCCATTTTTTTATTCAAGACAGCATTAAATTCGAGGAACCTCAAGTATCGTCTACCAAAAATGTTAACTTATCAACAAAGAGTGTAAAGGACGCAACACCAGTTGCAAGAGAAAATACTGTTTCGACAACGAACACGCCAGTGTTATCAACAGAAACATTAAATAGTAATAAATTCAAAAACAATTTCTGTGATAACCAAAACGTGCAAAACGACAACCCACCAAATGATCTGAAAGTTCAGTATAAAGGTTTAATTCGTTTTATTTGTATTTTGGATATATCCTAGACTTTAAAATTTTCAAAGTTTCCAAATACTCCAAAAGATTTTGATCATTCTGAAGATGCTAAAAATGCAACAACACCCAAAAATGGAGAGATCGTAAAAATTTCAAACATCACAGGAATACCAAAGAATCAAAAGAACTCGAGAAATCAACAAACATAAGATTCCAAATATTCCAAAACTTATCTTACCTTTTAGAGATACGCTGGTAAGATTCCTAATACTTCAACGACTCCAGCATAGCAGAATTTGTAGAATACGGATTCTAAAGGTCATAGAGATTCTAAAGGTTCTGAAGATTTTGAAGATTCTGAAGATTGTGAAGATTTTGAAGATTCTGAAGATTCTAAAGATTCTTAAGATTTTAAAGATTCTAGAGAATCTAGAGATTCTAGCGATTCTAGAAATTCTAGAGATTTTGGAAATCCTAGAGATTCTAGAGTTTAAAGATATTGTCACAGTTAGCACCAAGTTACGAAACCGATTTGCCCTCAAAAAGTAAGTTTGGCTGATGCCAGGTATTTCGCAAAGAAACTGCGAAATGCTTGGGCCAGCAGAAGGAACTTGGAGAGTGGCAAATCGAGGACAGGGAGTGACAGTTAGAGTTAGAGACTGTGAGAGTGTGGGTCCCTTCAAGACTGCCAACGACAACTGTAATGATTAAGTAAGTACCAACTCCATATGCTTAGTTTTGTAGTTAGTAGGTAATAAATCATAGAATAGCAGACAAATGATTTTATATAACACCCCTAATGGTCACAGGACGTGACATATATTAAGAAATTGAGGTAAAAAGATTGCAAAACAACATACAGGCGCTAGAAGATAAATCGAAGCAGTCAGAAACAAATAAGCTTGCATTGCAAAGTAAACTTATCACATCATACGAGGAACTTAACACATGCTACAAGGAACTTAACACATATAAATCGAAAGTAGTGACATGCTACGAGGAACTTAACACATGCTACAAGGAACTTAACACATGCAAATCGGTTTCGTAACTTGTTGCTAACTGTGACAATATTCTTGAGATTATAGAGATTCTAGACATCTTAGAGATCCTTGGAATTCCGGAGATCCTAAAGGTCATAGAGGTACTAGAGGCCCTAAAGATTCTAGAGATACTAAAAATCCTAGAAATTCTTAAAATAATAAAGTCTCCTAAAATTCTAAATATTCCAAAAATTCTAAAGAATGCAACGATTCCAAAGATTAACAGATTCTAAAGATTCCAAAATTTGCAAAGATTGCAAAGATTAAAACTATGCAAAAGATGTAAAAGATTCCAGATTCTATAGATTATGAAAATCCTAAATATAACGAAGATTTTGAGTATTCATAATTTCATAAAATTCCGAAGATTGCTAAGATTTCAAATACTCTGAACATTGTAAAGATTCTGAAGATCCAGAAAATCCTATAGATTCTGAAGGTACAGCAAATACTGACAAATGTGGAGATGCTGGAGACTCTAGATACTCTAGAGATTTTACCATTTTGGAGATTCTAGAAGTTCTAAGGATTGTAGAGTTTCTAGAAAAATCATAAATGTACCAAAGATTCCAAAGATGCTAAAGATACTACAGAAGTTATTAAAGACCTTAATGATCCTAAAAATCTTAAGATATTAAAGAACTGAAGAATACTAAGGATCCCAAAAAGCTTAAAGGGCTTAATGCTTTTGAAGATCTTAAAAATTCTAACAATCGTAAAGATCATAAAGTTCCCAAAGATCTTAAATATCTAAAGGTCTTAAAAATTCTAAAGACGCCAAAGATCCCAAAGATTCCAAAGATACTGATGATTCTAAAGATTTTTAAGATGCTAAAGGTTCTAAAGATTCTAAAGATTCTAAAGATTCTAAAGATCCCAAAGATTCCAAAGATACTGATGACTCTAAAGATTTTTAAGATGCTAAAGGTTCTAAAGATTCTAAAGATTCTAAAGATTCTAAAGATTCTAAAGATTCTAAGGATTCTAAGGATTCTGAAGATTCTGAAGATTCCGAAGATTCCGAAGATTCCGAAGATTCCGAAGATTCCGAAGATTCCGAAGATTCCGAAGATTCCGAAGATTCCGAAGATTCCGAAGATTCCGAAGATTCCGAAGATTCCGAAGATTCCGAAGATTCCGAAGATTCCGAAGATTCCGAAGATTCCGAAGATTCCGAAGATTCCGAAGATTCCGAAGATTCCGAAGATTCCGAAGATTCCGAAGATTCCGAAGATTCCGAAGATTCCGAAGATTCCGAAGATTCCGAAGATTCTGAAGATTCTGAAGATTCTGAAGATTCTAAAGATTCTAAAGATTCTAAAAATTTTAAAGGTTCTAAAGATGCTAGAGATTCTGGAGATTGTAAAGATTCTAGAGATTCTTGAGATTGCAGAAGTTCTAGAGGTTCTAGAAGGTTTAAAGTTTCTAGAAATTCTAGAGGTTCTAAAGGTTTTAGAGGTTCTAGAGGTTCTAAAAATTTTAGAGATTCTAGAGAATTTAGAGATTCTAGAGATTCCAGAGATTCCAGAGATTCTAGAGATTCTAGAAATTCTCGAAGTTCTAGAGATTCTAGAGACTCTAGAGATTCTAGAGGTTCTAGAAATTCTAGAGATTCTAGAGATTCTAGAGTTTCTAGATATTCTAGGGATTCTAGGGATTCTAAAAATTCTAGAAGTTGTAGACATTCTAAAGTTTTAAAGATTCTAGAGATTCTAGAGGTTCTAGAAATTCTGGAAATCTTAGAGATTCTAAAGCTTCTAGACATTTTAGAGATCCTAAAGATCCTAGAAATACTAAAGATATTAAAGTTACTAAAATTTTACATATTCCAAAGGTTTCAAAGATTCTGAAGATTCTAAGTATTCTATAGATTATAAAGATCCTAAATATTCCAAATATTTTGAATATTGATAAGATTCCAAAGATTGCAAATATTCCAAATACTTTGAGCATTCAAAAACCTATGAAGGTTCAGAAAATACTGAAAATTGTGAAGATGCTAGATATTCCAGAGATTTTAGAGATATAACAATTTTGAAGATTCTAGAGATACTAAAATTTGTAGGGATCTAAAGATCTCATAGATTCTAAAGATTCTAGAAGTACCATACATTTTAAAAATTTCAAGGATTCCAAATATTCCAAAAGATTTTAACCATTCCGAAGATGCTAAAAATGCTACAAATCCCAAAAATGGAAAAAAGAGAAGAAATGAATAAATTCCAAAATTAAGATTCCAAAAATTCCAAAATTAATCTCATCATTTTGAAATGTCTGAAGGCTAGTACTTCAACGACTCCAGCATCCCAGAGTTTTTAAAGATCTAGAAAATATTAAAGGTTCCAAAAATTCTAAAGGTCCTAATGATACTACAGATACACAGATACACATTGTGAAGTTTTTGAGGTTCTTAATGATCTTAAATATCTTAAGATATTAAAAATCCTTATGATCCTAAAAACCTAAAGACCCTAATGCTTCTGACAATCCAAAGAATTCTAACAATCCTAAACATCCTAAAGATTCCAAAGACGCCACAAATCCCAAACGTTTCAAAGATACTGATGATTCTAAAGTTTATAAAGATTAGAAGATACCAACTGTGTCAATGTCACAGAATGAGGTTGAACCAGTCGTCGAACGGTGATAGTCAAAGCGATGTGCGTTTTTTGACTAGCGACGAGGTTTTGGACTTAGTTTAGCCGGTGATTATGACACTTTGTGAGTTGTGGATATGTGTTTAGATTTACACTTTTTTATTATGTAGGTGTTGTAATTTAATAAATTTCTTTTGTGGTTTCTTTCTTTTTAGTTTTACATTCTTGTATTTGTTAATTTTTCATTTTGTTCAGTTTCCAGTTCTAATTTTCCTGTAATTGGGTGTAAGCCCGTTGAAAAATAAAGATTATTATTATTATTAAGATTATTATTATAAATTAAGCAAACTTTCAACGGAGTGAAAGTGTTGTTCTGTTGATAATAATAAATAATTTGCACAATGAAAAGGCAAAATGCGCACATACTTTACACAAAATAACAGATTTTATAACATAAAACTGAAAAGATTGGAAAATAAAAATTAGATTATACCAGTGGCGGCTCGTGAAGTTTTCTTCAGAGGAGGCTCAAATTTGAAAACCAATACTTTTTATATCCTTCATTATCTGAATAATTTTTTTGTCATGCTCACGAAAAGAACACTATAGATAAACTATTGCATCGATTAGTCTTTTCAAAATTGCCCTATTTTCACCAACTTTCTCGTTATAGTTCTCAATATCCCTCTTATGAGCGGAATCTAAAGTAGTAGAAGAAAATATGTGTTCCTGTGATTTTTCATGCCTTTACACTGCACATGAGACTGACTTATTTTCGTTGCTCATTCTCGTTAAGTATAAGTAATATTAATATGCCGATAATACCAGCTGTTTTTAACGATCAGAAATAAAACGCAAATAAATGATATAAAAAA